TGATGAGTTCTCATTTCCTTTAGAAAAAAAGAAGCAGGTACTCGTATAAATCCTTTCTGTCCAGCTTGAAGACTGACAGAAACCCTTAGAATTATGACTCCTTCCAGTCGTTATTATATAATGCCGACTTCTGGCTGAGATTAATGACGTGATGCTTGGAATTCACATCTTAGAGCTCGGTTCAAACCACTTCTCCTCTTACGTTGGTTTGGTTATATGGGTTATATCTCAGTGTATTGATCACCAATGATGCCGTGTAAGAAAATATTCCACTAAAATATCAATCCGGTGACCGTGATGATGTAGTTTTCAGAAAATGAAATATCACTGGAGACAAGAACAGTGAAGAATTGAGTTTCATTATGGGTGAACGACCCCTTCAAGGCTTTCTGACACAGCGGTCTCGCTCTGGTTCACCCCTGTCTGCTCACACTACATGGGTGCAGGTGACGTGGGCTCTCTGCCAACACTGCAGTGTTTGTCTCTCTGTACTTGTTTGTCTTCTCGTTCCGTCTTTATCTCGTATGTTGCCGCCTGACTGATACCTCTGGACGCAGTGATCATTTTGATTTATCCTTCTGTAAATGGCTTTCAGTGCGTCCTGTTGGCTTGTTAAAATGATAGAAAAGAGCACCTTGTTTGCGGCTGTGCAGTCATCTGGGAGATCATGATTTGTCTGTTTGTTCTTGGGCTCTCCTGAGATTATGAATGGATTTGGCAGAATTTTGGGAAGGAGATTAAATCAAAGATTAGTCGGTTACTTGAATCTCTCTGTGATCCTCGTCTGGCGTCTTGCCGATCAAGCAGTTTCCTGCCCGTAGCTGTTCTCTAAACGCTTTAGCTGCTAGAAAGCACCGTATTTATGTGCTGTTCTGGCAGCAGATCATACTTGTGAATGCTGATCTTGCACAGGCAGCAGCTTCACCACCGGTATTTGTTTATTGCCTGCTGGTTATGGATTACAGCATGCAAAAACACAAGGAACGTTAATACAGTACCATCACAGTATAGTTACGTAACTCTTTCTTCCACATCCGATGCTACGAGCGGCCGTCAGACTTCCACCTGTACAGCATTAATTATGAAGCATTTAATTAAATTTAAGGCAGCTGGCAGCTCACTGGTATATGCTCTTGGCTTCATTAACCACAATAGACTCACAGCAGAAACACTTTCGCTACCTTAAAGCAGTGCTCATATCCTGCACTGGTAATGCTGTGAGTAGAAGTGTAACTTATAATATATATAGAGAGAATGCTTCAATATTTATTCATCTATTATTCATGAAAATGGGGTATTTTAATAGCTGGTGCCAGTTTCTTTACAGGGAGGCTGTTATTTAAGTCCCTGAAATGGACCAAATTAGCATCCCTGTATTATTATAAGGCATATCCAGCTTTTCAAGCAGCACATTGCTATCATACAATTCCAGTAAGGTCAACAAGAATGGATGGCCGTGTAATGGAGGGCCATTCAAACCACTAAATCCTCCTGAATTAAGCATCTCTAATTAAGTGCTATTCAGATCACTGAGCGATCATTCAAACTGACACACTAAAGAGAAGAGTCCAAGCTTCACTTTCGTTCCACTGGTGTACCACAAGGCTCTGTACTTGGTCCCCTTTTCTATAGACAACTGCACTCACCCACAGATGTGTGTTTGTTGTTCTTATACTACTTTTCTAGTCTAAATACAGTTGTAAACAAAAGTCCCCATACACTTGTAAAGACCATGTGTATCATGGAACTCATGAGTTTGCAAAGACTCCTATTTTCTTAATGGCATGGGCTTTTTTAGCTTCTCAAGAGTGATTGACTACAGCTGGTGACTCCTCTAAGGCAATTTGGTAGCACGATCCTCTTGGACTGTTCTTTGGGAAAACCTGAAATCATCATCCAGAAGGTTGGCTCTTAGATGCTGATCGGTGTTACAACAAGACAATGACACCAAACACACATAGGCCAGAATCAAGTGTTTGGATTGGTCTCTTCAAAGTTCTTTAAAGAAACAAGTATGTGTTAGAAAGCCAACAAATTTTGCTTAGCTGTACCAATTCTGTAAAGAGGAATGATCAAAGATAAAACCAGAAGCTTGTAGACGGCTACCAAATGTGCATAGTGATGTGAAAACGGCCAAAGGATGTATATTTTTGACCCAGCAGATTTAGTTATATTCTCGGAAGACCTTAATTAAATTTCTAAAAGAACCAAAATGTATGATTGTCTTTATTTGAGAGAAAGATGCATGGGTTTGAATGATTCCATCACAGAAGATTCAGAGTTATAGGATTCACTGGAACCTCAAGACTGCCATGGTGCACGTAGTCTTTGCCAGTGTATGGAAACTTTTCACGGGGACCCTCATGTTTATGCAGACTCGGAAGTTATACCGCCAACCTGACTCCTGGATAGCGGCAGTCCTTCGGTTTTGCAAAACATTTAGCTCCCTCTCCAACAAAGTCGACAAGAAATCGGGGTTATATGATTAGTGATCGAATAACTTTCAGTGATGCATCACCTCTCGAGTGGTCCTTAATACAGCAACACGTCTAGTCTTCCACCAGCCCAACATGGCTCCCTCCGTGTCCTTCCACCTTTCATTACTCTCCCCTGACCGACAACACTGGCATCCATCCACTTGATTTCCCTCTTTCAGCTTTAGAGCCACTTCATCCACAACCGTCTGCAGCTGAACAATGACTGAACCTTTCATCGCTGAGAGAATCGAAGGTTGAGGCACTTGTGTTCGGAGGCTTGTCCTCGGTCTGCCGCCTCATTTGTGCAACGCTTTGGATGAAACGTGCCGAACGAATACATTTAAATGACGCACAAAGAGGGTTTCATCATTATATGTCAGCAAGCATCAGCGCTGTTGTAGCTTTGACTGAAACACTGAAATCAATACGGAGCGGTTCACCCATCAGGATCGACAGCAGGCGTATTCGCTGCAAAGCTTCACTGGAACATATGACTTAATAGTGTTTGCGGCAGGATAACCGCTCCATTCACATCCATGAAAAGTAAAGGTTGATTTATCGTCGGAGCCTCCGTGTCGTCGCTTAATGCAGTTACCATGGTTACAACTTCGTGTGCTCAGGCTGCAGCGGTGTGCATTGGAATTCCTCTATCTGCTTCTTCTTCTTCTTCTCTGCACAGGATTTTCAATTTGTGTCAAAATGAGATCGTCTCGTTCGCTGACACGAGCGAGAAACGCGACCGAAATATCTCATCTGTGCGTCACACTCAGCTGGATTTCATTCTGACACGTTGCTGGAAATGTATCATGAATCCTGCAGTGGAAAGTCAGACAAAATGCTGATCACGGTGCAGACAAGTGGCTTCTCCTTGTTTTTCTTGTTGCTTTATCTCCACCCCGGGGGTCAGATCAATCAAAAAACAATTTTGCATTTTGCAATTTTTAAATGTCAAATGTTGTCTGTCTATCTGTGACCATCTGGTGATTCGAGCGCTCATAAAGCTATCAGCCGTCTCAGATATCTGCTTTATCGCCTCCTTCCTAACACCAAACGCTTGCTCGTGCTGGCTCGCTTCTTTCCTTTCATCAGTGATGCGAGGCGACTACTCAGGGTGTGAGCCAGGCTTGTCTGCTCCTCCTACACCAGAAAGCCACTCTACATTTTTGTTTCCTCAGTAAGACGCCGTTCTGCAAACACAGGTTTCACCTTTCTATCTTTAGCCTGTAGGTGGAAGCCTGATCACAGCTGCTGCGTGATTCATCCTGCTTGCTAATTAGCTCCTGTTCTGATCTTCTGCTGATGTAAAAGTAACAATACATGTATCTTAAAAAGAAAAATCCTGCATGCACAAAGAGCACAAAGGTGGTATTAAAATATGTCTTCTGGCTGATGTTTTACTATATATGGTGTCATTACATTATCAATGCTGTCAGTAATGAGTTAATTAAAGGGTACAGCATCGATCTGAGGGGTCGGAGAACAAATCTGAAGTCATGTTTAAGCTTTTCATAATTTTTTTTGCTTTTTTTTGGTAGAATGACGTCTAATTTATAGGGATGCTGTATCGATATATCAGTGTCCACATCGGTATCGACCGACATTAGTGTTTTTTCCGATATATCGGTCTTGGTCCGATGAACAAATTTAGCCGATGACTGTCTAACATCAGCGCCTTCGTCTCTACATTTGATATTGCTGCTCTTTCATAGATGTTTTCACTTAAAATATCCTGGGCTTGACCGTTAAAGGCTTTTGTTACGTAATTAAAGAAGACCATGTGGTCTAATTTGGGCTTCTTCCGAATAGTTTGCACATTCTCACAGTGCTTACTTCTACTAATTTTATACACAAATTAGCTGCGTAAATGAAACCTCATGACAAGTTCAGAAGAAAAATATCTGATAGCAGGAGAAAGAAGTAAAATTTGCATTTGAAATGTACGTCACAAGTACAGCTATCAGATAAAATTGTATTTCAGTGCAGTAATTGAGTAAATAAACCTTAGTTCTACCTCGTGTTTAGTGAAAATTTGCAGTTTTGTACCAGATTTTCGCGTCAATAATGCAAATTTCTTTAGAAACCGAGTCAGTCATGTCACAGTTTAATGAAACAGCATCATGTCTATCTATCTATCTATCTATCTATCTATCTATCTATCTATCTATCTATCTATCTATCTATCTGTCTATCTGTCTGTCTGTCTGTCTGTCTGTCTGTCTGTCTGTCTGTCTATCTGTCTATCTATCTATCTATCTATCTGTCTATCTGTCTGTCTATCTGTCTATCTATCTATCTATCTATCTATCTATCTATCTATCTATCTATCTATCTATCTATCTATCTATCTATCTATCAGCCTCTAGTATTTGTTTTTTTCTGATATCTTCATGTTGGCTGACAGTTCTCCCAACATATGCACGCTCAAACATTAAGAACAACCTCTGCCGTGATATAAAAACCTCCATTGTCATCTAAACATCGCTGACTTTCTCCTCCCTCTCTCCGTCTTTTTCCGTGCAGACCATGCAAGCGGCGCGATGCCCGACAGATGAGCTGTCGCTGACTAATTGTGCCGTGGTGAGCGAGAAGGATCTGCAGTCAGGACAGTGAGTAGACACGTTATTCATCACTGTGTTTGTCAATACGAGCGCACGCCCGGGCATCCCTCCAAACACCCAACCTGTCCGTCCACCCACCTGTCACCTGTCATCCAGGAAGTCCCGCTTGACAATCTGATACGTGACTCTCGGTGCATCACCATTACCTGACTTTATAATGATCATAAAAGCAGTTGATGTGGTTTTAGTTTCTCCCTTTGTGTGTTTTCCTGCCTTTTTGATTGGCTGCCTCCATCCTCCCACCACCCAATCAGACGCCTTGTGTGTCTCATCTCTTGACTTTCCTCCGTCAGTTCGTCTGTTCACCTCCCCGTTGACCTCCTTCAGTTCATTTTCTCTCTGTTTGTCCTTCAGTTTCCAGTCTGTTTGACTGCAGGTGTACCATTCTGTGTCCATTACCTCCCTGTGTTCGTCACGCCATCCCAGCTTTCTTAACTCGTCTGTGGTTTTTCCCTTCGCCTGTTTTCTTACCTGGATCTCTTGCTCTTAAATTCATTCTGCCTCCTTTGTTCAGAAATTTCCTCAGCTTGAGATTTTGTTCCTTTCCATGTCTTGTGTTCTGGTGCTTCCTCTCTCTGAACGCTGACATAACAGCTGCAGGACTTTGATGCAAAAATACACCATCTTTTTAAGGTTTAGGTTCGGCCTCCACCACGGTGAAAACTACAATAAAAAAGTCCTCAAAAACCAAAGTGAAAAGCCTTTTCTGATCTCAATCAATGAACAAGGAGGATTCTATCAGTGTAAGAACTCTCAAAATAGTAAATACCAACATATGAAAAACTCATTTTCTGTGTATAAGCTGTATATGTGAATGGCACCACTTCTAATAAAATCAACTCTACAGATGGGCAGTAGCAAATCAAGAATGCATGAAGTGGTTATTGCACATGTAAATCTGAGTATTAGTGGGATAAAATAAAGCAGGTTAATGGTCAATATAAGGACACTGCCGGCAATCAGTTAGCTTAGCTTAGCATAAAGTGTGGAAACAGGGGTGTTTAATCTCAAAGTGTTTGTTTAATTCTATAAAAATTGAAGTGTACCAACTTGGTCGAAGCCAAGCTACCTGTTTCCCCGTTAACGCTGGTTGTGCTAACCAAAGTGAACGTCCTTCAGGCTGTGGCTTTTTTTGTTTACAACACAGACATGAGAATCATTCTGATTTTCTAATCTAATGAGCAAATAAATGTATCAGACAGATGATTAACCCTGTTCAGGACTTTCATGTTGCCAGAAGGTCTTTCAGGGTCCACTGGACTCCAAGAAAGAATATGTGGAAAAGATTTGTTTGTGTTCATTATATACTTTTATACTGTATTAAATACATTTTCTAGTAAGGTGACATATTTTTTTGCATGACAAATGTCCTTCTTTTTATATTTAAAAAAAAAAAAAAAATCTTCAAAAATAAGAAAACAAGACCTGCCACCTAAACCAAATGGTCTGGAGTCCAAAAGACCCCAAAAGTCCTGAATCGGGTTAAGGTGCTGCTTTAAGTCAGACACTTAAGTCAGTGTTTGGGAGGTTCTTTAGCCTGTCACACATTTATTATAAGTCAAGGTTTATTGCTCATGTTATGTCACCTTGTTCGACTAAATCATGTACTTGCCGTTTGTTTTTCTGACCTCGTAGGGTTCCTTAGTGAAGTCACCAACGCGTTAAATATTTTCGTGCAGCTTTAATTATAACCATTACGCTCAGTAATTCAGTAAAACAGTTCATTTACTGTCCTCTTGGTTAGTTTTGTCACATCTTGCTTGCGACATGAAATAAAGCGTCCTCAGTTATTTATTCCTGTGTCTGTGTTTGCATTTTTTTCATCCCATCCAGACAGTTTTGTGAAATCTGCAGCACAATAAGCATTCAGACCTTCGCCTGTCACCGTGTTTCTGCTTCATTTGTCTTCTTGTACGTTGGAATGTGACGTGTCTTTAGTGGACTATAAAAATGAATCTGTCAAAACAGCTGGCTACCATTGCATCAGTTTCACATTTCATGGAACAGCAACTACAACCCGTCAATAAAGCTTCTATGCAATTAGCTAATTAAATTGCACTGCCTGGTCTCCAAACACATTGATGTGTTGTTGTTTAGTTCTCCTCTGCAGACATGTGACCTAGAGTGCTGTAAAAACAATTGTGGTGTGTTTATTTAAGTAATTAAAATAAGAAATGAATGCTGCACTAACCAACATTTGTAAAGAGAATTTTTACTCAGCTCCATAATTCCTCTAGGTCTCTTTTTAGTCTGTTTTGGATGATTCGTTTGGTTTTTCAGCAGCCAAAATCGAGCAAAAACGAGAATGAATACTGGATTTTGATTTGTCATCTGGCCAGAAACACAGCTCCACAGGGATCCTGACGTTGCTCCTTGTTCTGCTCGTGTTTCTAGCTCGATTTGCTGTACAACAGTTGTTTCATGTTGTGACTGTCACCTATCTCTGCAGACACGTGACTGTGAAGACCACACCCAACCACAAGTTTGCGTTTACAGTCAAGACCCACCACACTGTGGCTCCTGGAACCATCGCCTTCAGCCTGCCTCAGGTGCACAATCGCAAACGCTCGCGCACAAACACACGCTGTTAATTAGTTGTTAAACTGATGCTCAGTCTTGCTTTGTTTCTCTTTCCTTTATCTCTCCAATAGAGGAAATGGGCCGGCCTCTCCATCGGCCAGGAGGTGGAAGGTATACAACCCTTTGTTTGACTTCTGCATCGTGACTACACAAACATTGTCTATCTGTCACTGTGATTGATTGTCGCTATTCCTACCGAGCTTTCCGTTCTCAGATTTACCCCTCTAAATTACTCCTAATGTTTCAAACAATGGGTTCTCGATGTCAAACCAAACCAGGCTTTTAATTACATATCAGTCACTGTTGAACTTGTCGACGAAAACAGTGATTTTGCGATCAGGATAAATTATCTGAGCATCAGATGTCAACGATTTTTTCTAAAGACGTGGCTTTTTGACGAAGCAGTCTGACTCATGAGAAAGATTTGAAAGGGATCTTAAATACTCACTTTATCATGCTAAATAATATGCTACGCTAAAGTCAGCATCTTCACAAATTGATGAAGCACGTAGAAGTAATGGAACCTGTTTTCTTGTACAAGAGAAATATCTTAGGACTAACTGGTTTATCTCAGGTGTCGTTGGCCGTGGTTGCCGCAGGGTTGGTGCAAGATTGGATCAATGTGAGGGATGGCCTGCTGTGATTGGTTGTGACATTGCTAGGCAACTGCTGATGCTCCAGTTGACTGACAGTGATTTATTTTAAAACTGATTTGAAGTGATAGATGGAGCACTTTTTTTTGTCAATGTGAGTCCTGGTAAACTTCAGTTCTTCTAACTCTATAACCAATAACTGCTACTTGGTCGCAGGCTAGCTAAACTGCATCCGACAGGGCTGGAAATCAAAGCATCAAGTCAACAAATTAATGGACAACCCAACCTACCACCTGAGCCACAGTCACAAGATATTATTCAGTTTTACCAGCGTATGCACATCCAACAAAATGCAGGATGATACGGTTCACAACCAACTTAAGAAAACACAGGCACGTCGACAAAAAACCAGGCTAACACCTTTAGCAATTTGACAAGACATATAAGAATACGTACTCATCCAGTCTCAGATGTTGTTTATTTTCTTACATGTTGTGCTATGTTTTAGTTTCCTGTTGTGCATACTTCAGTGGCCGACAAATCTTGAGCTCCTGAAGTGAATTCATGCTCTTGTTAAAGATAACTTGTGTCCCTCTCCGTCCCCTCAGTGTCCAACTACAACTTCGACAAGTCCAAGCAGTGCATTGGCGCCATGACAATCGAAATCGACTTCCTGCAGAAGAAGAGCACCGACTCCTCTCCGTACGACTCGGACAAGATGGCCGCCGAGTTCATCCAGCAGTTCAACAACCAGGCCTTCTCCGTCACCCAGCAGGTTCGTACTCCCATTCGTCAAAACATCACGGCTCATATTTTACTTAGTTCTTTGCTTTTTTGCTTATATGTATATATATTCATTATCCTCTTGCTGCTCTCTGTCTCTCAGCTCGTGTTTAGTTTCTGCGATAAGCTGTTCGGTTTGGTGGTGAAGGACATCGAGGCCATGGACGCCAGCATCCTCAAAGGAGAGCCGGGCTCTGGAAAGAAACAGCAAAAGGTATAAGATTACCGTAGTGAGATGGTTCATCGAAAAACAAGTGAAGCCAAAAGTAAAACATACCTGGGTGCTGTTGAAGTACGTCAGGGTTACCAATAAGATGTCTGCTGCTAATGAGTCCTTTCAGTTTTGATGGGGAGCTTTGGTTGATTGTTCTGAACGAAAGCACCGTAATTAAGCTGAAAAGAGTGAAATTAAATTGCTTTTGAGGGATGTAATGATCCAAATATGGTCTGGATCCCTGGAGCAGTCGGGTTGTATTAAATTAGGGCAAATTCATGTAACATACAGTAGCAGTCCATGTTATTATACTGATGTTCTATATGCACAACATGCCCATAGTTCCTCCTTAACAGCTTTAAATTAATAATTCACATATTGGGATCATTTTCATCATTACTTATACACACATCTTAATATTGTGGCCCATCAGCAAAAACACAATCATTGACGAAATGTACTCCAACTGCAACCAGTGTTTCCATTTATTTTAAATCTAAAAATGTCACAGATACAAAAACACAAGAAATAATACAAACATAAACAGCAATTCACCGTCTGGCTCTTATATTTCTTCTTATTTACATTAGAGAATCTGTATTTTTGCAGATTAAATCTGAAACGTAGACATTGGAGTTACATTTGCATCGGCATTAAGAGCCACAAATGCTCATCTGCATAGTTTCTACTCAATTTCTTTCCCGTCAGGTGCCATAATTGCTGCTTTTTATCCAAATTGAGGAACTGAATGGATAAAAAATGAACGCAATTATTCCACTTTTCTTAACGGAGTAGTGACTTCGGTGGTTTCTCCGACAGATTGACGTCGGGCTGATGGTGGGCAACAGCCAGGTGATTTTCGAGAAGGCCGAGAACTCTTCCCTCACGCTAGTCGGTACGTTGCTGCTGTCGTATAAATGATGATGTGCTTTTATGATGAATGATTTCTTCAGTTTTCAGTACAAACGTTGTGGCTGCAAGGGGCCTTTATCTTATGTGTCTGTATCTGTTTACGCCACAAGATGGCAGCAAGAACACATTCTCATAAATGCATCATGTCCCATAAATCACCTCAGAGGAGTTCAGGCTCCTTTCTGCCAAGTGGAACGACTTTAAAGAAAACAAACTTGACTTTTATTTTACGGCTTTTAATTTATTTTATGCTCGAGTTGTGACTTGCAGCAGTGTTTCAAGCTTTCCTTTGCTAAAAATCACACCTCTTATTGTGCTCCCTCGGGCTTTAAAATATATTATCTGCTTGCTAAGTAACTCTTATTTTGTTTGTTTTTTAACAGGTAAAGCAAAGACCAAGGAGGCACGACAGACAATCATCAACCCAGACTGGAACTTTGAGAAGATGGGAATCGGAGGTCTGGACAAGGAGTTCTCCGACATTTTCCGCAGAGCTTTCGCTTCCCGAGTTTTCCCTCCTGACATCGTGGAGCAGATGGGTGAGACGACCCCTCCATCTCTCTCTCACTTGTAACTTTTCATAGCTGTGGTTTTTTTGGGGGATTTACGACTTTCCCTGAGCTTCCTCCACCCTTTAATTGACTCGTTAATCTTCTTTTAAACTGTATTTATGAGATCTGGTGATTGCGATGCAGGCAGTTTGTGAGCTTTTATGAATGACACATTGTTTGGAAGAGCTGTACTGTATATTCTCCATGGAAATAAAACATAAGCCGCAGCCAGTTATGTTCCCTCATACACATATGGTAAACGACACAATTCATATTGGTTTTATGAGCCGTTTTATTAATCTGGTTTCTTCTCCCTCTGGTTATAACATGCATCATCCTTTTCTCCTCCTAATGTCATTTCCTTTTCTACCTTGTTACTGTTTTTTTCTCCTTCTTTTTTTCCTCCCTCTTCTTCTTTTCTTTCTCCATCATTTTTTTTTTGGCATTTTTGTTCACCCCTCGTTTCCTTCCTCCTCCAGGGTGCAAGCACGTGAAGGGCATCTTGCTGTTCGGACCTCCGGGATGCGGTAAAACGCTGATGGCCAGGCAGATCGGAAAGATGCTCAACGCCCGCGAGCCCAAGATCGTCAACGGCCCCGAGATCCTCAACAAGTACGTGGGAGAATCCGAGGCCAACATCCGCAAACTGTTCGCAGAGGCCGAGGAGGAGCAGAAGAGGGTGAGACGCGCTTTCTTTTTTTTAATGTGTTCAATATGTTAAAAAGAAGAAAAAAAACTGATGAAAATGTGTACCACTTTCAGCTGGGAGCCAACAGCGGCCTCCACATCATCATCTTTGACGAGTTGGACGCCATCTGCAAGCAGAGAGGCACGGGCGCCAGCAGCACGGGCGTGCACGACACCGTGGTCAACCAGCTTCTGTCCAAGATCGACGGCGTGGAGCAGCTCAACAACATCCTGGTCATTGGTAAGAGGCACCAGAGGAGACCGACCGACTCGTCAGCGGCTTCGTTACACTGATTGGAGAGCAGGAGCCCATTTTATGTAGATTCGACCAATCAAATCAAACAGCAGGAACCCTGCAGGACTCAATTATGCGATCTGCTCGCAAATCACTTTCATGAAACGGACCCAGACCGTAAAGTTCAGAGCGGTATTTCTTTTTCAGTATCTGAGGACGTTCTAACATGATTAAAAAGCTGTTTTGCATTAAACATCACCACCAGAGAACTGGGAGGCCAAACCAGCTCTTCACATATGTTGGAAAAATCTACATTAGGGCTGCTGCTTTTTCAATAAAAAGTTAACTTTAAACAAACTCCAGTGAACACGAGTTCATTCAAATGAAACCCACGAGCACCTAGTACAGAATATCTGGTGTGATATTTATAGTGTAGGTTCAGTTTTGTCATAAACTTTGACTTGAAGCAGTTCAACAGTAGATTGCACATCCTTGCATTTAAATTTTGTCTCATCATTGATGTTTTTGTGTGTGTGAGAATAAGCGCAGCAAAGGTGTACTGTTAGCATTAGCTCGTGGTCATCGACAGTCGTCCTCTAATGTATTCATATCCTCCCATTAAAGAAGGAAAAAAACACTGAAATAAGCTGAAATTGACAAAAGTAATAATAAATAAGAATTTAATGAAAATCAGGACATTGCTTTTGAATTGTGGTTCAACAGAAATATATACTGAAAAAATTAAAAAAAAATAAATAATTTAAAAACACAGAAGCACACAACAGCGAAGTGCTTTAATTTGTTGGAAATTTTTACAATTTTATTTTTTTAATTATTCTTTTCAACCATAATTCAAAAGCAACATCTTATTTCACTAAATTATAATTTAGCAAATTTTTATTTATTGTTACTTTTTTCAGTTTTTGGTTATTTGAGCAACTATTGTGAATTTTGCCTTTTCTTTAATGGAAGGCTGTGAATGAATTTGAGGACGATTAAAGGCTGTAAGATCCAAAACACGACGACAACGCAGCGTCGCAGATGTTTCTGATTTCTGATCGGTTAATGTCCTCCCAGTTTATTTATCAGCTCAGCTTACACATACTCATTAGGACATGCAGTAGATCAGTCTGACAGTCAGTTATTGGATCTGCTGCTCCTCAAGTTCTGCTCGGCTCACGGGCCGCAAATTTACACCGCAGTGCAAATAATTATTTTTGCTTCATGTTTAAATAAAGACAACATTTTTTATTTTTTTTAAAATACTGACTCACTCCAGGAGTCTGAGAAAATTTCCTAACTGTACATTTTTTTCTAAATTACTTCATTAGCTAGTGGTTATTTTATTGTTGGGTATTTTTCTCCACTGTAGCCGTCTAATATGATCCACATTTATCATTTTTTATTATTTTTTTTATTGATTTGAGCACTTTGTAACTCTATCTGTGCTTTAAAAATATATTTTAAAATTATTATGAATATTATAAATTTCTCATTTCAACTCGGTTAAAGCCACCTATTCATGTTCTCGTCTCACGCAGCCGCTGAAGTGAAACTGCAACCAGCCCATTTGTTCTGTACGGGAGGTTTTTATTTCCACTAGAATCCAATTTCACACTGCTGAGCTTTAAGTGCGAGCAGACGGAAATATAATATATGTGATGCTGGTCGTCGCATCAGGAGACGCCAAATAATCTGCTGGAAAATATTATTTAACTGCTAAGTGCATGTCATCAGAGAAGAGCTGCGCTGTGAAAGTAATGATGAGGTGAAGTTACATGCTAAAGAAAAAACATCCTGCTGGAGGGAAGCAGCTCTGGACTCGGGTTAAAGGAGGTCAGAAGGACACGAGTCAGTGTTTCGTCTGGACCGCTCAGGAAATGAAATGCAACAAATTCCATTACATTACTTATAAAGAAAGAAGTTGCTGATGTTTTAAAAATCTTTCATTTTTGGGCCGACGCTGTAGCTCAATTGGTTGAGCTGGCGATCCATGGACTGGGGTTATAGTCCCCGACGCAGGGGTTGTGGGTTCGAATCCAGCCCACGGCCAGTTGCTGCAGGTCCTTCCCCTGTTCTTCTCCCCACTTTCCTGTCTCACTTTCTACTGTCCTGACAAAAAAAAAAAAAAAAAATTATTCTTTTTTTTTTTTTTTTGCAAAATCACTGTTTAAAAACTGCCATGACTAAAAATGCCCTTTTTTTTGTCCAGATGTGCAACATAGATTTTGGTCTTATTGACATACGAGGTGTGTCAGAAAAGTTCCAGGACTGGTGTCACAAAAGATATATTTCAAATCCAAACTACAAACTACCCCTTCAAAGTAATCCCCCTGGAGTCTAACACCCTTCCCCAGCCTTCTCTTCACGTCGCCATGCACTCCTGGAAGGATTCTTCCAGGATCCTCCTCAGCCCCGTCGTCACAGCCATCAAAACGGGTCCCCTTGATGACCCCCTTGAGCTTGGGAAAACAATCCCACGGAGCCAGGTGGGGTGAGTAGAGAGGTTGCTCCAGCACGGTGATGCTCTTCTCAGCCAGGAACTCTTAGATGCTCATGACGAGTTGTCATGGTGAAGCAGCCACGATTCATCGTGCTACAACTCTCGCCTCTTCTGAACAAAGCAAACAGATCTCTTTGTAGACGTGCTGGTTGATGGTCTGACGGGGAAAACCTCCTTCCAGCTACTTCCATCCAGCAGACGTAACAAGGTCCCACTGGCCCGCAAAAACATCTATAAAAAATCCTTCCTTCCCACTGCAATAACCAGCCTGAACAAAATAAAATAAGACACTAAACAGTACATCTGATGTTTCGTCTTAACATTTCTTGTAGACGTCTGGGCTTTGTGAGCTCGTGTCTTAAGTGTGTTTTTATATGTGTTGTATTTTTCTTGTTGGAGCCTTGGTAAAAGAGAATTTCTGTCACTGTTTTGGACAGACGATAAAGTTTATCTGTCGATGTAAAACTCCTACTTTGTAGTTTGAAATCTATCTCTTGTGACACCAGTCCTGGAACTTTTCTGACACACCTCGTACGTGTAGTAACGTCTTCAAGATCTGTTTCTCCTGCTGTCATGATGGATGAAGTTGTCTGTCCCATAATCCCTCCACTTCTTTGTTATCATTCTCAGCATCACAGTGTTTTTCTCTGTCTGTCTCCAGGAATGACCAACAGGCCTGACCTGATCGATGACGCCCTGATGAGGCCCGGCAGGTTTGAGGTGAAGATGGAAATCGGTGAGTGTTATTTTACCTTTTCTCTGCCTCTCTCTTTGCTCCACTTTCGTTTTAGCTAAGATTTCAATCCGTCATTCAATCGTGATCTGAAAGTGCTGAAATGTTTTTGCTCCACGTTACCTGTGACTAGCCGCGTATGTTGGATTATGGCATCATCACAAAAGGATCCAGTTGCTCATTTAAATGGCTTTGAAAGGCCATCATAAGCCTCAACACTTTTCTTAATGCTCGTGATAATGAGATGCGCGTCCACGTCCAGATCAGTGATTAGTTTCGCTGCGTAAGACTAGATGGAGAATAATTACCATATTTCTACTATATTTTAGCCCTTTTTCTAACAAGCAATCATTCTTATTTAACCCCCTACATGTGCAATAATTTGTCATAGATTCCTAGTTTCCTCATCTAGATTACAACCCTGGATCCGTCGCTAACAAACCGTCTTGTGACGCTTTATGTCTTAAAATGGAAGCACAAAGCGATTGGAGTCAATTTAGTCACCTCAGGACACATCCATCCATCATCTATACACCGCTTAATCCTCACTAGGGTCATGGGGGGCTGGAGTCTATCCCAGACCCCTGGACAGGTCACCAGTCTATCACAGGGCTACACTTAGAGACAGACAACCAAGCACACTCACATTCACACCTACGGACAATTTAGAATCACCAATTAACCTCAACATGTTTTTGGACTTTGTGGGAGGAAGCTGGAGAACCCGGAGAGAACCCACGCTGCACGGGGAGAACATGGAGACTCCACACAAAAAGATCCCGGGTGTCCTCACCAGGATGTGAACCGGCGACCTTCTAGCTGCAAAGCAACGGTGCTACCAACTGCGCCACCTTCCTCATTTAGATTACAACCTTGGATCCGTCGTTAGCAAACCATCTTCTGACGCTTTATGTCTTTAAATGGAAGCACAAAGCCATTGGAGTAAATTTATTCACCTCAGGACACATTACACACGATATTTTTGATGGTACAAAATGTTTAATTTCCATCGAAACACATGAATTCTGTACGATTGTTTGGTTTTCACTATCTGTCAGGGCGACTAGTTTAAGTGAACAAACGGGTCTCTGATCACCAGCTCACCAACTTTCTTTTCAGAACTCCATCACTCGTGATGTTAGTCATTAATGCGCTCAGGGATTAAATCTTGTCACAGCTTTCACATCCTTCACTCTCGCAGCATCACCAACTCTGATGAACCCCGCGTTCTCGCACACATGTAGAACGTCGCCTTCTCTTCTTTCACGTTATCAAACAGCTGTTGCATCACGCAGCAGCTCCATCCATAGCGTCTCCCCGCTGACAGAGGGCCCGTGCATAATTTACATAGGTGGCACTGTGGCTGTAACGTCATTAATTATTTACATCATCTGACGTGCGACCGTGTCCTCACGTAGCCTTATTAACCTAAATGTTTTCTTTTTCTGTGTGACAAACTGAGCTGAGCAGCTGCTGCACAGATTCACGGTTTCTACACTCAAATCAGTGGCAGCGGACAAGCAGCAGGATGAGTCAGAGCCGTCAGAGCTGCATTTTTATGTTCAGTCAAAGTCCAAAGTGGTTTCCTCCAGAGAATCGTGATGTTTTTCTGGCATATGAAGCAGAGGGTTTTCAGTTCTGCTGCTCGAACGCAATCACATCTGCAGCAGAAAGCATGAAACTTCTGATCACATAAGTTTCCTGAACCATCTGTTGCATGCAAATATTAACATATTTTAAAAAGAAATCAGGGCTTCGCTAAGGTCACAGTTTGTTCTTTAAGTTGATTTAAATTGTTGCTTTATCCAAATGACCAAAAGGCACAAAATAATGCAAAGAAAAGAAAAGACAACTGAGAATGCGTCTTCTTTTGCGGGGTTTAACCTCCTAAAACCCGAGCTCTTGTTTGATATGTATTTAAAAAATAATAAAAGCCAACGTCGACAAGGTTTTCTTTGAGGTTCGCAATAAGAAAATTTTCAAGAGCAAAGACAGGAACGGGGCGAGCGGCAAGAAGAAGAAGAAGCACTGCTGCTTGCTCTAACGCTGAGGAGACTCACCTGAGAGCTGCCGCGGTCCAATCAGCAGCTGGGAAGCAGTCACATGATCACCTGTAACACATATAAAAACACGCACTTATGCTAAACAGCCACCATGACGCTTTATAAAAAATATAAAGGAAATAAAAATATATTTAAAAAGTATAAATAACAATGATAAAATAATGATAAATAAATAAAAATAAATCATAACTGTGGTGATATAACCCAAAATGTGATGTCCATGCATGTGGACGCCAGGTCTTCAGAGGTTTAGATAGTTAAATTTAATTTGGGACGCCTGATTTTGAAATTCTACCAATACGGTGGACGTGAATCAAATTTAGTTTTTTAGTTTGTTTTTTTTTAAAGTGACATTTAGGAACTGCAACACATCTTTCCACAAGCAGAGTGTTTGTTACTCTGGACACCTTGAACTAACTTGTACTGAAGAAATAGTCCTAAATTCTTCAGTGTGGATTCTGGTCTGAGTCCCAGCATCACTGAACAAGAGTTCCTCTCTTCACAAATTCCAGTTTACCCCCTGCATGTACAGAACTACATGCTGCTGTAACACTGCCATAAGTGTTAAACTAAAGTGGTTTTTGCTGACCAACGACAGTGTTTGCTGAAAGTTAACACTCCATTCTTTCCACTTTTCCCACCAGGTCTGCCTGATGAGAAGGGCCGCGTCCAGATCCTCACCATCCACACCAACAAGATGAGAAGCTTCAACCTGCTCGCCGGCGACGTCGACATCAAAGAGCTGGCATCTGAGACGAAGAACTACAGTGGTGCCGAGCTGGAGGGTCTGGTCAGGGCGGCGCAGTCCACCGCCATGAACCGACACATTAAGGTCACTTTCAAGCGCTCGAAGCTTATGTTCAGGTCGGGTTGGTAGTCTGCTAGCCTTACAGATTGCGAGGGGCAACATTATATTTTGTCTCCCGAAGCATGATGGGAAACAGGAAATGATTTGACAATGTGCTGATTCCAGTAAAAAAAAAAAAACCTAGAAGGAACATGGACGCTAAGTGGAAGTGACTTAAATCTGCATTCTCTCTAACAGCCAGCAGGGGGCGACTCCTCTGATCATATAGACGTCTAATTGTATTGAAGTCTATGAGAAAATGAGCCAACTTCTTTCTCGATTTGCTACCTCAGTAAACATTTTTCCAATGATTTTTCTAACTACAGTGTCAATTTCAAGCCTCCTTCAAGACGTCATGAAGTTAGTTTTTTGAAGTTATGATCCCATTTAGGGGAAAACCCAATAATAACGGATCTATGAGAGGGCGGGTCTACCTCGTCATTGACATGTTGCAGCTGTAGGGGCATTCGTAGGTCTTTCCTCTACGTTAATCACGTGAGGAGCTCTCAGATTTATCTGCTGTCCTTGTATATAAAACTGAATATAAAGTATTCAAGCATGCTGCTGACACACTGATGTTTCACTGTTACTGTTACTGTCACTCACAGTGACCCCTCAGCATAGTACTTTCATCCCTGGAACACCAACATGCATCTCTTTGCATTCACAAACAGATGCTGAAAACCGAAAGACTTGCAGGAAAAAAAACAGTCAAACACTTTAAATAAACCACTGTCCTGCTAAATATTTACACATCTGAGAATCTAAATAGTCCCAGTTAGCAACTTTAGCTTCATGTAGCAGAAATATAATAAGACTTTAAGAAAGAAGCGTGTAAGGTGAGCACAAATAGACAAATTTACAAGCACTAATTAGTACTAAGCGACCCTGCTTTCTTAGTTCTAGATGTCTGTGATAAGTCGAAATATAATATTACAACAAATTCTATTGCAACAAATGTAAAAGTTGTTTTGACACTTTGATTTGGTCGTATGATTGTGTACGTTGTATGAACTGTTGCGTGTAGCCTTGTGATGGACTGGCAACCTGTCCAGGATTAAGTGTTGTGTAGATGATGGATGGATGATGGATGGGTGGATGGATGGATGGATGGATGGATGGGTATAGACAGTTGCAGCCCCGTTAACTTGACATTGTTTTAATGTTGGACTGCTTTTTTCTTTCTTTCCAGGCTACATCCACAGTTGAGGTGGACATGGAGAGGGCAGAGAAGCTGCAGGTCACCAGAGCTGACTTCATGGGATCCCTCAACAACGACATAAAACCAGTACGCCGTTCATAGAGACGATGTTTTGTTGAAAACCATGAAATCCAGCGACAAGAAAAAGGCAAAGCAGCTAACATTTCCACGTGTGTTTTTTCCAGGCGTTCGGTACAAACCAGGAGGATTATTCCAGCTACATCATGAACGGCATCATCAAATGGGGCGACCCGGTCACTCACGTTCTGGATGACGGAGAGCTGCTGGTGCAGCAGACCAAGAACAGCGACCGCACACCGCTGGTGGCCGTGTTATTGGAGGGTGAGAAATCAAACGCACGAGTCTGCTAAAGTTGTAAATACCAAACAGAGTGCTGATATCGAAGAGGTGGAAACAGGTGTTTTACAGAGATTCTATCACATGTTCGTGTCAGAAGAAATCCTTGTTATTCTGGGGTTTAATACAAAGATATACTTCATACAAAAGCAAACAGAAACAGCAAATTACACCCCTCCTATCTGCGCTCACACATCCAGGTCCACCCCACAGTGGAAAGACGGCTCTGGCAGCTAAGATTGCAGAGGACTCGCAGTTCCCCTTCATCAAGATCTGTTCTCCAGACAAGATGATTGGACACTCAGAGATCTCCAAGTGCCAGGCAATCAAAAAGGTAAGTGCTGCAGTGACTTCCTCGAATTACAAACTGCATCTCCGTCTCCTCCCTTCAGTTTTTCCGTCCATTAATGCCTTCCCGTCTTCGTTCCTGCCTCCTTGTTTTTCAGGTCTTCGATGATGCTTACAAGTCTCAGCTCAGCTGTGTGGTGGTGGACGACATCGAGCGTCTGCTGGACTACGTCCCCATCGGCCCTCGTTTCTCCAACCTGGTCCTTCAGGCTCTGCTGGTGCTGCTGAAGAAAGCGCCGCCCAAGGTCAGAGTTCACCGCAGCTGCCATTGTTGTCCAAAGACTATTAAAAACACACCCATGTACACAATCCTTCATTACCTTGAACATGTAGCACATTATTTTTCTGGGCAGCTTCATTATAAGGGGTTGCAAGCAAAGAAAACGTCAGCAACAGCTGTACTAATGCACCAAATGTGTGTTAATCAACAACAAAATGACTAAGAGCTGCAGTGTTGAGCTATTTTAGGAAATGACTGAGCATACTACAGATGTTCATCTCTAATAGGAATAAATGGGCTCGATGCTAAGTCCAGCAGTTCAAATGTGTTAAAAGAAGAACGACAACATTGATAGTTTTGGTTTTTTCGTGACCTCTTGTTGGGAAAAAACAAGAACAAATCCTAAATAATGGTCACTAATCTGACGTTATTTGCCTTCTAGCAGAGTCAGATGAGAAGATCAATACCATCATTACGCCTGTTAACACGAAGCTGCTGCCAAATTAGCGTAACTTAGCATAAAGACTGCAAACATGGTGAGCAAGGTTCAGTCCAAAAGGGGACGAAATCCACCTGCCAGCACCTTTAAGCCTCACTATTTGACACTTTAAGTTGTTGGAGTTAAAACTGCATGTTGTTGTTTCACTGTTGGACCATTTCTTGGCCAATCGCAGTAACTTCCTGCAGTCTCGCTGTGAGCTTTAGAGTTGATGGATTTTGGGTTCTCTCTCCTTATCTGGATTGCTGAATATTGCAAACGTACGCAGCCTTAATCAGAGATAGACCAAATAATTGGTTGGCTGATTAATCCACATCAGCCAGTTACCAGGGGAACAGCTACCAGGCGTTGTGTTGGGTTGGGCTGCACCACCTACTGGGGCCTGACTACCACAGCTCACACGGTGCACATGAGCTCAGATAAATCCGTAAGCAGCAGTTGAGCACAGTGGAAGTGATCCAGTTTTCTTACTGCAGCATCAGACATCAGGAGAAGGAGAAGCTGCTACCTGGAGATAAGACATGTGAAGTGCACCACAACATGATTATATTTCATTCATTTATAAGGTTTTTGTTTGTCAAAAATGTAGATATTTATTTAGTTAATACATACTAGTTATGAAAACAGAAAGTTTACTGATTTTGTGCCTCATTTTTTGTTAGTATCACCAACAACAGCAACAAAAAACATCCTATGATATCCGTATAACACAGGAGCACCAATGTACTTCAGTTTCTCATGATAGCAAGAAGCTATCTGTCATTTTTACAAGATATTTTCGCATTTTGACTGTTTCTGAGTGCAGTTTTTTTCAGTTTAGTTTTTACCAGAAGGGCTGATTTGTCTACAGATATTCCGTCACTGATCACAATCACTGACATGCACAATAAATACCGTAAGACATAAAAACAACTTGCCACATGACGAGATCATCCTGTTCTATCCATCGTAATGTTTGATTGCGTTCGGCTGCAAAGTCTCTTCCGACTGAATTTTTTCACCCATTTCAACTCCATATCCGTAACAACTGCTTATAATGTTGTAAAGTTTATTTACACCAGATATACTGATTTAAAAACAAAAATTTAGGGGATATGGGATAAGATAAACATGATTGTAAACACAGAATAAATTCAGCAAAAGCAGGAGCGGTATGTTTGCCTCTATAATACCATTTTTAAAAAACTATAACTGCTGGAATTCAAAGCTTCTCTGCACCTGCTGACAATTAACCTTCACTCGGACACGGAAAATGACGGCATGATTAGCCAAAGTGCAAAAATTACAATGCCGTTTTATTCCTCCTGCAGGGCCGGAAGCTGCTCATCATCGGCACCACCAGCAGGAAGGACGTCCTGCAGGAGATGGAGATGCTGGACGCCTTCAGCACCACCATCCACATCCCCAACATCTCCACTGGGGAGCAGCTCGTCGACGCCTTGGAGGTACGAAAATGCATTTAAGGACAATCGCGCACATACGTTTGGAAGCTTGAAGGTAAAAATACTCTCAATTGTGCACTTAAACAAGGACACGCAGATGAAAGCGGTGAATTATACATAACCATTCCATTCTCGAGAGAACACGGCCGTGCACATACACAGCCTTGGAAGATCTTTATCCTTGCAGGGAAAGAACCTACACTCACTTTCATTCAAGGTACTGAAGGGGGAGGAAAAAAAACAAAAAACACATTAAGTGGCTTAAGCTTAATTAAAAGGATGTTTTTGCTCTTACCACAGGCTCCCAATGTAGAAAAAAAAAATCCCCATCTTTCTTTCTGCTGCCTTTGTTGTCTTTGCAGCTGCTGGGAAGCTTCACGGACAAAGAGCGGGCCAGCATCGCGCAGCAGCTCAAAGGGAAGCGGGTCTGGATCGGCATCAAGAAGCTCCTCGTGCTCATCGAGATGTCGCTGCAGGTACGGGAGGCGCACCGGAGCGGCAGCTTCACAGGCGGGAGGGTGGATGTTTGATGGGATGGGGTTTGTTTGAAGACAGACAGACAGCCAGAAATAGATAAGGTAGCTGGGAATGCTGTCAAATCTGGAGGGAGGAAAAAAAACTTAATTTTAAGACGCATTATGGCTTTTTCACTGCACTCATGCTTAGAACCTGTATCCTGGGAATCTCCATAAGCAGAATTTTTAAGCACCTCGAGGGGCCTTAGTGTGAGGATCTAATTTGCGCTGCGCCCTATGTTTCAAGCATAGACTGTATAAAAGATGGACGTAGCTACCGTGACGTCACCCGTTTGTTTCTGCACTGAGAAAATGAAGCCAGGGTTTTGCTACTTCCTGGTTGACATCTTGGATTTTTGGAGCCAGTGACGCAAAAATCGCCGGGGCGGAGCCATAGGAGCAGCGATTGGTCAGACGGATTGAGAGGCGGGCCCTCTCTGCCCGCCCACATTTACCGCCTTCTGCTCACTTCGTCTGTATCGTCGCTGTCGACTGTCAATCCAGCCAGCCACGCCCCTTGCCCCGCAAAATGTTGACGATTTTTTAAAAAATTCAGTATTGATTTATTTTCAGATTGGCCACCTGATCTCTGGATTTGACGACGAAAACTAATAAGAAACAAATCCTGAGCTGTAGGAATGCGGTATTTCGTGATCTGGTCTATGGGAGCCAGGGCTTTTTGGAGCCAGCAGCTAGTGGACGTAGTGATATTGCAGGTTCTTGACACTTCCGGGTTGGCTTCATTTTTCAGGGCCGGTTGCTATGTCCATCTTTTATACAGTCTATGGTTTCAAGACATTGCCGGGGCGAGCACCAGCTAATCTGTGGCCAAACATAACATCACTTAGTTTTGTGATTTGTAGTCCTCTGAACCCCCAAACCAGGGAGGGTTTGCTTTAAAAACACCTCATTTAACTGAGTGAGATACTGGAAAAAAACCCTAAAAACTAATAAACAAGGATTCATTTATGACTTCTCTCTCCTTCTTCATGGTCCTGCTATTCCTGTAGAGATGCAGGACTTTATGTTAGAGTGAAAAATGAGCCCACAGTGAGCAAAAAAAACAACACCTGGGAGTCAGAAGGTTAAAGGAATAGTACAACTTTTTAACAAATCATTCTCATGTCTGTGTCATGAGCTGCTGTCAAGCTTAGCAAGTTAGTCCACATTAAACCAGCTCAGTTTATTTGTTTCTGAACAAAAATGACAGTTTCACCTCACCAAAAAAACACAGCTTTTCCAAAAACAAACTGTGTATGAGGCTTAAGGTGCAGGCTTGGTGTTGTGACTGCAACATGAGCAGCAGAACAGGTGGTGGCAGTAGCGCTGTGTTGCATTGTTCTCTTGAGCTGATAGTGGAGGAAGACACAAAAAGAACACTTTGTTCAGTTCATAGGTCCAGCTCCAACCCTCACACTAACAGCCTCGTGGACTCACTAAATCATGAGGATTCAGGGTTGGTCCACCGGCAAATCAATAAGTGCACAAGGTGTCTGATGCACGTTGTTTGTTTTTCAGCCAAAAGTCCAGATTGGATTTACACATATTTATGCCTTTCCTGTCTCTTGGTTGTTTGCTATAAACATATAAATGCTGTAGTGTCAGAAATGATCAGCTGAGCAACTCATCAAACGGTGAATGAATTCATTTTCAACATGTTCTTTCCAAGCAGAGTGTGCTTATTGTGCCCCGTCTGTCCTTTTCATGCCATGAAGAGCCCTCATGAACTCACACACTTCAGCACTGCAGCTTTAGTTAAGTCAGTTAAGTGTGTTCAGGTCTAGTGAGGTGGGCCTCAGGGTGGCGTTCAGGACTTCACTTCCTTTACTTCCTTTTTTTCTGTGATGAAAGCATAAACGTTCTGTCACTCAAACTGTTGAAATCTGCTTGCTTTTTGTTTGTTTTTTTAAAATAGAGGACACTGTCCAGGAACTGTTTCTTCATCTCAAGTTCTCAGTAGCTTGCTTGCTCATGTGTCCTCCTCCCATGCATGACTAGTCAGGGAAGAGTCACTGTTTTAGCTGCTGTGGAGTTTGTTTTAAAAACTGTGCCCAGCTTTATTCACCAGAGATGTAGTCTGAGACGTCTAGAAGCCACTATGCACAGCCAAGAAACGCTTGAGCTCATAATCTGTTTTGTATGGATTAAACCAAGCAGACTATTAGGGAGGCTTAGAGCCAGTAGGTGGACTCACCTTTGGACACAGCCAGGCCAGCGTTGTGTCTGGTGTTCATGCTGGGGTAGGCTTAGCTTAGCATAAACACTAGCATTTTTTTTTTTTTTTTTGGATTAAGGTTTTTGCCTTTTTTAATGAAAGTATCATCAAACAACATGTTTGTGCATCACGATAAATACATTATATGTTTAATATCTTTGGAGTCTTTGTTTGGAATTTGTTTGGATGCACTGCGTAGCTTTTAAATGTGGGGCTAATTTGTTGGGACGCTGCTCGATGTGAAGCTAAAGCAATATTTCAAGGTGTTGGAAAACAATTTGCCTTCCTGTTATGAGTTAAATATATCCGTCTGATAGCGCTCTGGTAAATATGAGCCTGCAACTAGCGGCCTATTAGCTTAGCTTAGCATGGAAGCTAGCAACATCTTGACTCTGAAGGTAATAAAATGCACCGACCAGCGTCTTAGAAACTAAAACATAACAACATGTAATGTATTTGCTTAATTCTTGTCTGGGAAGTAGCTGACTCTTAAATTGTTCGCCAACAACTTGATTCGTTGGTTAAGTTTAAATTTGCTATTATCTCATTCCAGCTACTTAAATTAGAATATTTTCTGGTTTCTCTTCTCGTCTATGGCAGTAAACCGACTGACTATCTTTGGGTTGTGGACAAACCAAGACGTTCTAGGTCGTCATGCTGTTTCCTTTGTTTCAAGTCTTTATGCTAAGCTAAGCTACTGACTGCAGCTGTATCCTAAACAAAGTGTTTTTAAGCAGCTCTCAGCAAGAAAGCAAATTAAAATACTTTCCAGAATGCTGCACTTCTCCTTCAGGATGGGTGAAGTGAAGCACCAGCTGGATTATTTGGCCCAGACGGGAGGCCTACACTTCTGTCATCCAGCGGGCCTCCATAACGGCTCCATTTGTCGTTGCTGGGATAGCGCTGATATAATTGGAAGGCACAACATTGACTTTTGCCTGTCACTTGTGCTACTGTTCAATCTCCTCTCCCTCTGCTTTATTTGGCTGCCTCCAGATGGACCAGGATTACAGAGTGACCAAGTTCCTGTCTCTGCTCAGAGACGAGGGGGCGTGAGTACAGCCGCTACGCACCAGTCACATTAAACTTCATTACCTGTCAGCAGCCTCCATCTGCTTAAAGCCTCCTCTTTTATTCTCATCACCTTCCCTTTCATGCTTCTCCGTCTTGTTTTCTTTTGACATTTATGTGCCACTGTATTGCTATTACATATAGGTAGCTTAGTAAAGATTACAAATGCTACAGTCTTGTATTTCCACATTGTGCACACACACAATAGATGCTTTTATTTTCCTAACAGTGCAGAACAAGGACAACAATCAGTGACCTCTTCTCAACAACTACTAACCTAATTGGCTTTATTTTGCAATCACCAGGTTGAATGAAGGCGATCAAATCCGAATTTAAGCTGTCGGTCGCACTCGCTGCATGCTGGTAAGGTCAACAAAAA